CTATCAATAAATGTTTATAGTTATGACGAATAATGTATTATCTATCCTTTAAGTATAACTATAAGTATAAGCGACATGTACTTCTTTTGTATACAAAAGATAAAACTAATGCACGTTGTCTTCTCAAAGATTTATTTCGATTAATTAAAATTCAAGCAGCAAAGCATAATATCCATATGATAGATGTCGGGTGTTTTTATTCAAAATTTACGTTAAAGAAAGGATTGAAGATGGATTCGGTTATAAATTATGAATAATTCATTAAGAGCTCCTTTTCTTATATATACTGATTTTGAATGATTAATAAGGAAGATGAATATTTGTAATCCAGATCAAAAGCATGAACTTATTAGTTTTTGTTATATCAAGTATGTTCATGGACACTATAAAGATTCCGTAGCTTGTATAGGACCAAATACACAAACTGAATTCATGGACATGCTTAAAGAAGTTGAAGAAGTAGAATTTAGAAGCAATGATATCTGTTGCATCTGCGATAAGGAAATAATAAACAAATTCAATTATCAGAAATATGGAGAAAAACCAGTAGTTGTTGAAAAGAGTTCTAGACCATGATCATTTAATTGGAAAATATAGAGGACATGCTCATGTAAGCTGTAATATATTGTTTAGAAATCCTTCATTCATACCACTGCTTATTCATGATATGAACGAATATGACATTCATTTGTTTATCCAAGAATTAGGCTGGTATAAAGAAATTAATTGATCTAATTCCAAACAACGAAGAAAAAATATTACATTTAGTAAACTAACTGGTAATCTAAATTTAGGATTCATATTCATTTAAGTTCCTGGCCAATAATTTAGATAAACTTACAAGTAACCTTAAGAAAAAGCAGTTCAAAAATAAAATGTAATATTTTCCAGAAGATAAGTTCCATCTTGTAATAAGAAAGGAAGTCTATCCCTATGATTATATGGACTCGTTTGATGGATGCAATGAAACAACATTACCACTAAAAGATATAGTACAGTATATTGTACAAATATGATATATCAGACGATGACTACAAAAATGATCAAAACCTTGAAACAAGTTTAAGATACAAAACATGGGAAAAATATTCCGATCTTTGGTAAAAAACTATTCTGATATTAGTTGATATTTTCGATATGTTTGTTTGTAAAACATATAAAATAGGTCGTGCTTGGTACCGGTATGCCATGGGATGCAATGTTAAAAATGATTGATGTTGACTTAGGATTATCGACTGAATATTATATTATCTTAATGCTTGGCAAAGGTATTCGTGGGGGTATGTCTCAGGGTTCTAATAGATATAACAAAGCAAATAAATACATGAAAGATTATGATCGTTATAAAGAATCTATATAGCTTAACTAGATACTAATAACCAATACCTATGGGCAATCAGTCAATATTTACCCTATGGAGGATTTAAATGGCGTTGATGTCATGAAAGAAACTGATTCTGAAATAGAATATATTTTAGAAGTAGGTTTGAACTATCCAAAGGAACTACCTAATTATCATTCAGATATACCAAAGAACAGAATGGGAATCAAAGAAGTAAAATTAATGAGAACTTTGTATGATAAGAAAATTGTTGTTCTTCATTTCATTGATGCATAATTGTTATGGACTCATGAACCTAAATTATTGTATTGATTGAAAATTATTACACCAATATATTGATTTTTATATTTGTGATTAAAATAGTCGATTTAAATAAGGACATAATTTATTTAATACTTCACACTATCCAAAAAAATATTTATTATTGTGTTCCATTAGTAAACAAATGTTTTAGGTAAAATAAAACACGGCAACAATAAAAAACTAATAACTGAATTTGTAAGGTAAATTCTAAGACGTATGCTTTACAATTATGAGATAATAAAATCTGTAAGAAGTCTGAAGTGTTAAAAACGTTATTGATCAGAAATAAATAAATAAAAATATGAATCTAACAAGAAAATAAAAAAGTAAGAAAGATATCCTGGTCAAGATAAGTAGAAAGCATTAGGCTCGAACGGGGGAGAAAAATATATATTATCAGATAGTATTAATTTTGTAGCTTGAGGTCATTTTATCTCCTATATAAATGGAAGCAGAAAGAAAATGTAATACTACTGGATCATTTCAACATATTGAAACTCGTAAACTAAGTGAAGTATGAGATGATTAATTCCGTGAGTTAAAAATAATGAAAACTCAGTTTAGTGATAAAACTGTAGCTGGGCTAATGGGTGAAAACTGCTTAACCTGCTTTATAAATGAATGAAATATTGCAGAAATAAAGCTCCTTTCACTGAATTTTAAATTTAATATTGACCTGCGTGAGCACTTCCCAGGAGCATTTTGTAATTATTTTAAACTGTTTTGGAGTTCATTAACATCATTTAATACTTTATCATATAAATAAACAGTTTAAGTAGTGATAATACTTCAATCAAGAAATAATTTAAGAATATATAGTCAACATTTTATGACGATTTTGTACTTCTAAGTGAGATAGTTTTAAAGGGGTGAGTCTCTGACTGACCCTTAATTTTGAAATATTTTTCATGTTTGAATTGTTTTCCCTGCTGGCATAGAAACCCTATGCCAACGAAGTGAATTTGAATCTCCATGCCCACCAGTTATTGCAAAAACCCCCATACCCTTAAAGGAGGTAACATTTGAGGGGCAACAAAAACAATTTTCATGATAGTAATTTTCGATGTTTTTAACGATTTTGAGCTATATTATGATTTTTGGTTGTTTTTGATTATTTTTAACGATTTTAGTTCATTTTTGATAATTTTGGACTTGTGTGGTGTGTTTCCGAAGTTTTTTGTCTTTAATATATTTTTTAATTCGTTGACCTTAAAGTGGTGCATAAACCCCTTTATATATACTAGTACTAAGTCACTCGAGACATCTAAGCAGTACTATCCTGTAGTACTGAAATTTAGGATGTAGTCAAACTACAAGTTACTCCTCATTTGAAACACTGTGTATAGTTTTGGAATCCTTATCTATGAAAAAATAATGACTTATTGGAAAGGGTTCAGTGGAGGATTACGGGGTAATTTTAGGTTAACTCGTATGGGTTGTAAAAATCTCTGAATTGATTTTCTCTTGAGAAAAGAAGCATAAGAGTAGAAATTCTTATTGAAGTTTAGAAAACTATCTCGGGAATAAAGGAATACCTTTAATGATAGAAGAATGATAGAAGACAGACTACACTACAGTTAAGAATTTTTCTTAGAGAGGAATGGGGAATCGATAATTTCTTAAGTAGTAAGTTACTCTTTCTGTGCAGATGCTTTCGAACTCTGGTTCCAAAGGCATAAGGGTAAGAAAATGGTGATTCTTTCCCGCGAGATGGGATTCTAGTTCACCACAGGTTAACCCTAACTATCAGTTAGATAACCATCATACAGCTGGGTAGACTAGAGTAGGCAGAGTAATGTGTCTTGCTCAAGGACAACAGTAGGATGCGGGCCAGCCTCGAATTCGCAACCATCCGAGCCAAGCTGCCCCACCTCTTTACCGAATATCAAAGGGTGGGTTTAACTATTTACTTTTCTCAAGAGTGGGTGTGCAAAGACAGCCTTGAAGGACAAGAAGGGCCCTTGTTTGTCAGTCTGTTATACTATAGCATTTACTATATTATAATAGAGTGACAATCTGTTTGAAATAGATAACCTGAAACGGAATTTCTCATGTGTTTATGTTATTATTCCCTTCACAAATATCTTATTTTTCCAAAATGGCCAAGTGATAACCAGTAGTTACCTGATCACACTTAATACAGCGTGTAGCAAACTTTTCTTCATAGCACCCTATGCAGTAGATCTCGTTATCCCGTGGAATGAAGCTTTTTGTTCCAATAGGGTTTTGGCATATGCAGCAGCAGAAACATTTCTCATGCCACTGACGTCCTTTATATTCCATCTTCTTTGTTCCTGTTGCAAAATAAACAAACAGACAAAAGATTGAAACACATAACCTTCATGCTTTATTTGTTTTTCATAAGAAATCTGTAGATATAGCAGAATTCTAGAATTTCTGGTAACAGCTAATTTATTGCATGATAAAAAAAATAGATTTCGCATGTACTGATCAAATATAAAAAAAAATTGTACTTGAAGAGATTAACATTAATCTGTCGTCAAATAATTGTTAATTTATTTGTGTGTTCATTTTCGTTCAAAGCTACACAATGGGCTATCAGCACATTGGTGTCCCTAATTCTACCTGATAACGTAGATGCAAGGCAGGTAATCAACAGCACCCACTGCCAACTTCTGGGCTGCTCTTGTCAGACCAAATAATGTGACTTGACAGTCACTTTTATAGCACATGCACGACTCTGAAGAGATGAGGGCATCACAGTTTCATGAAGTATCTCCAGGCAGTGAGGGAGTGTTGCTACACGCATGTTGCTAGGCCACCAGGACAGGCAGATGTTGCTAGTTTTACGAACTGGAACAAGAAGGTGCATTTTAGATAATATTACTAAGAATAGTGTTTCTATAAACGGAGGATGATGAGCTCCTTGTATCAGTATGTCATCAATGGTTAGGTTTAATTATGTTCTAAAAGTTAAAATTAATACAGATATCTGCCGATTTGTGTACAAAACAACTCAATAATTTATTAGTTTTGTTTCTATATTTAATCACACTTTTTGATGTTTCTAGAGCTGGATAGTGTTACTAATACATTTAACTAACTACTGTCTATTGTTTTTATAAATACTGAATGAGACAACTGATTGTGTTTTTATGGGTTGTCGTATTGAAATATAGTTTTAGGTTCTATATCAAATTATACGTTTTACATTTCCTGACCTTTCATATGTAAAACATTATAATTTCTATAATTATTATTTGTAATCCTGAAAAGGATGCTTACTTAAATCTCTAAATTATATAGAATAATTTAACATATAGACTTACGACAATCTTACTGTTTCACTAGTATGTTTTATGATATTCATATAACTATGAATTTTTATTGTTTTTGACAAAATATTTTATTTCACACAGGTAACCTATGACAGTTTTCCCTTATGTACTTTTTACAGTGTTTCTATGGGCCAAAGAAGCTATCATTACAAGGTCTTATTAAGGATAGTGTTACTTTAGGCAGACGTTGCTTCTATAGTTCCTTAGGATTTTCAAACATCTGCTATTTTTCTTTTACAAGTTAAATCTTTATTTCAATAACACAACTGTTATAATATATGTCCATTATTTGAATGAGGCAATTATTATAACCAATAATTTACTTTACATACTTTTATTGTTTTAATGAACAAAGGTGAAAGAATTGGTCACAGTGTTTTACACTTATGCGTCACTTCATAGAGTTCCTTTGATCTGGATTACATGTGTGTATAAAAATAATAGACAAACATACCTACAGACATGGGTTACGGGTGTATACTTTGTGGTGAATGTTTTCAAAATGTATAATCATGTGATCATCATCTCCATAGAAATCATTTTGGTGAGTGTACTATTTATTTTGTATATGGAGATTTGTTTTATTTGGGCAGTCATATGATTGAACATTTAAATATTCCCCAATTTCTACTTCACTGGGCCATTAGTATTATACAGAATAGATATAATATATTTCAAATGAGGATTTATACTGAAGAAAGTGAAGACAAATGATATTCTTCTTTTGAAGAAAACGATTTTGTTTAAATGTATGTAATTTAAAGGTCCTTTTCAGGACCATCACATCCTGAGAAAGAGAAAGCTATGACTGTACATATTATTAAAAACTGATATTCTTGAGGTGTAATTTATCAGAAAAGACTAAGTTACACATAGATAGGTCAATATTTTATAAACTAAGATGTTTTCATAAATACTATATTAGTGTATCTTGAAGTTTTGTTGACAGATGTTTTAGTATATGTTATACTTAAGACTGAGATTTTACTTACATATACTAAAGTAGCAAAGCTATGATTAAAAGTGATTTTTATATAGGAAAAATCACAGAACAAGCGAAAAGATAAGACATGTTACCGTAACAGTTTCAGAATCTATGTGAGGAAATATCTACATTGAAATAGCCAATAAACTAGTTTTTCTAAGCCTACTAACTGAAATCTTACATGATTAGTTTGGATTGAATCATTTATGTAATGACGTCTTTAGTACGATGTCTCATGTTAATTCAGTTTGTTTTCACATATTGTTACACAAATGAAAAATACAAACTCTAATTAAAATAGTAATATGAATAATATGTACAAATACTGTATGAAAGTTAACGATGTTTCAGTATGAGTGACGAAAGTCTATTTAGAAACGTGTATAATCAGTTTATGGACTTTAATTGAATAGAAAGTATACAAGAATTTTATGCTAACTGAAATGTTCCGTCAGATATCGTGAATAAACAATTAGTATCACTATGCAAAGTGAAGGAACTATGTTTACTGACTTTTAAATTCAGTAGCATACAAAAGCTCTAGTTAACGTATGGTGAACATTAAATCCGTGTAGAAAATATATGATTATGTAGAGTGTGAACCATTTATTTTCAATATTTCTTTTTTTTATTCCTGTAAACTTCCAATGGAGCATAGGGCCGCAACAGCACCTCGCCAACGGAAGGTGTTGTTGCAGTTACTTGTATCAGGTTGGTTTTTGCTAGCCCTTCCCCTTTCTCATCCTGGACTTGGGACCAGGCAAAGGCGGAGGTTGGCATGTTTGGTGTGACGGGGATTCGAACTCGCGACCCTCAGATTACAAGTCGAGCGCCCTAATCACCTGGCCATTTTCAATATTAGTATAATGTAAATACATAAATAAAGACAAAGTATTAAAATTGTCTTGTTCAACTTTTGTTTTCATAAGAGTTTTCTGCCATATTGATCACCCTCTTCGTTTAGTAAAACTGTGAGTCAGAATATTCTACATTCAAATGAAAGTGTTATCTGTTGTAGTGAACACAAAAAGGTCAATAGCTTTTTAAACTTCATGTCCTGCTCTGTATGTTTTCTAAAGCCAAAGTTTATCAAGCTTATTAGTGGTCTTGAATATCGAACACATGACTTATGTCAGAAATAGGCCGAAAGAGACCAAGCAGATATATAGATTATGTGCGTTCAATAACAAACAAACTCTCCTAGACAAAGACGTAACAATACTAATTGTTATTTAAGTACATCCTTTAAACTCTAGTGACTTATAAAACTAAACAAGAAAATAAGCGTACTTTTCAGGATGAATAGATGTTGGTTATAGAATTGAAAAACGTCAGGAAATACAAAATCTGGACTGTTAGCCAACACCATTTGTATGTGTGACTATGTGGCGACCTTTGTATTTCCTAATAAACAGTGGTCTTGATATGAGACAGAGGTTTATCTCAATATCTATTGAAGAAGAAAGTAAAATCAAAAATTGTTATGAATTTTAATTGGAAAGAACTTCAAGTAAATGGTAAGTGTTGCTACTTTAAATAGATTCTATAATAGTAAAATGATTGGATAAACAGTAAGTCATTCATATAATGAATGGAGTAATATATATAAAGGATTAACATAAGATTATGACTTATGCCTGACATAACTAGTGAAATGTGTTATATGTGAATAAATACTTATAAAGTGAAACTGTATGTTAAATTATATGGAGAATTAAATAAGCGTCCTTTCGAGGATGATAAAAGTATGTAAAGTAAATTGTTGGTTATAATAACTGCCTTATTCAAATAATGAATAGTAAAACTGATATATATATATATATATATATATATACATAGTTGGTGTTACGTTGGTGACAGACAATATATATATTGTAGTATTATAATACTATTGTTATTTACGCTAATATTCTTCCGTCCCACTAAGAAAC